AGGTGGCATTTTTACGTACATCCAAGAACGGTAGTTCTTCGTTATTTTTAATATCATACGTAAATTTTATACTTGCAAATCTGTTGTTGGGGCAAAATACGAAATCCTCTACCTTACTCCTTGTGTTTTGTCCTTAAAAAAAGAAACGCGCTGACGTTTCGAATAGACCAATACATTAATTCGTTGGATGAATCGATTGATTCATAGGTGAATTTTAAAAGTTGTCTGCATATGCTGCAGTATTGAAAACAACATCAATATTAATTTTTTAGAATAATAAATGATGCTAAACAGCTTTGATCGCCTTATACGAGTAGAAGTTCCTATCACATTCTATGATTTTCGCTCTTCCTCTGATGTATAATAATTCCATTTTTTCTGCATAATTTATTACTATTACATATGCAGATTCACAGAGTCCCATAGGGTTGTTTTTCTTAGAACACATTTTTGTGATCTCTGATTAGAGGTACATATTAGATTTTACATGTTCACGGTGTTCCGATAGATCAGACAAAAATTTTTCAAAATTACTTCGCTGAAGAAGTTGTATGAGCGGGATATCTTATATTATCTTATCAAAATCCGTTTCAAATAAAAATTTCGTTACATTAGAATACGATGGAAATAATGTTTAATTTGGCACCAAAGATGAATTTACCTTTTATATTACGTTTCAGGGCGGTCACTTTTGATCAGACTAGAAAAATAAGTTTTCAATATTCATTGAATGGAACAGAAATCCAACCTAAAAAGTAATTTAGACATTTGATCAGCCGGATTTTAGCAAACAGCAGAATAGCGACTTGAACATGACTCTGTCGAGGCTCCATAATGAGTCAGATGAAAAATTGATTCAGAAATGTGCCATACTAGCCCAGACGATAGAGTTAAAAAATAAATCTGGCATGAACAGGAAAATGGGTGGAAAATAATTAAGCTATGAAAGGCCCCCAGTTTGAATAAACTGAAAAAATGGCATGTGTTTGAAAAAATGGTTAGGAATTATTTATTTGGCTTTTATGTGAAGTTATGCGACTAATATGGCCTCCCTCCCAATATTTTTTTGCAGTTGCTCACCATTTTGTATTCTAATTTACCCCACAAAAGAACCATTATTTTTAAGTACTTTATACCTCACTTTAGAATGGTAAATGGTTATTTTAATTTAACACCAGGGCTAAGGGTCTGTATCGATTATAAATCGTGATTTGTGGTAATTTTTTATTCCACACTACAACCATTGTATATAGTTAGTCTATATACAAAGCTACAACGGATTTTCTCCTTGAGTTAAGAGTTTGTATTACAGTGAACATATTTACAAGAATATGCACGCACGTTCATTTACCCATTACGAGAGACTCGTAAAAGAATTTGTTTATGTTTAATAAGGAGGACTACGGAATAGGTGACATCTAGTTTTATAATAAGGAACCGTAGTCACAAACGTTTTTATTGTGAAAATACTAACTACTAGCATTGTATATAGACTAACCTATACAAAGCTACTAGTTATTTTCTTTCTTCCTTTTTTTGGAAGCTCCCCACATTTCTTAATTAAGATGGAGAAGAAGAAAGCCAAAAATCTCTTTTCCTAAAAAACTAATCACTCTCAAAATATTTCCTTTCTCAATTTGAATTCAAATATTCGTTGTTACATCTATTATAATATTATTTTACAGAAATGTGAAAGACGACTCTTCATGATGACTATGGTAAAACCAAAAAAGCATTGTTAGGTGTACCTATCAATGTGTATGTATGTGCCAGAAAATATATTATTTGACAGTTTTCTCTAAGACCCGAAACTAGTAAAGAAATGGAAAATTTTGCTAAAAATTGAAAAATCTATTTACGAATTTATGTTTACACTTCGACAATGATTTTACTCCAAGTACGTGAAATTTTGTGTATCTATGTTCCAAATGTTATTTCCAAATGTTTATCCAGCTTCCCTTAATCAAATAAAAAAGCTTATTATAAGGATAGGTTGTAAAAATCAAACTGACCTGCTTCAAATCTGCACAGAAAAACAATTTATCCACATCATTCGTTGGGAATTCGCGTTGGGAACTCACATGATGGAACTCTCGCTTCAAGTTTCCATCTAGTATTATCTTTCGAGTAACGGATTATTCCCGCCAATAACACATGCATTTTGAGAGAATTTTTATTCAAATGACACGTTGAATTTTTACAGGAATTTCAATATAAACGGATACTTTGACGAATATTTTTTGTCACAGATGTATGCACTGCCAACTTGTGGAAATGACCATCTCGATTTATGTATTAAACTCATCATTATGCCTGAAAATATATCTAGACAGCTTTGATTCGCTCGAAAACATAATTGAAAAGTTGCTGTCCTACTTCAAAGTCATAATTAAATGACAGGGAGATCAAAAAATTCGAAGCTGTCGATATAGACAGTTATTATATATAGGTATTATGAATCGCCAGCTATTTTTTTCAAAACGTGAAAACTTTCTTTTTGATGGACAGTTTTTCATATAATTTTGCCATATCTTCGATAATTTCAGAGATATTCCAATTGTTAGATAATCTAACTTTTTTGTAAAATATATGATGGTTTTTGAGAAATTTCAATTTCAACATAACATTAATATTACGAATTGAATACCGATTTTTTTCGAAACAAATGATTTTCACGAGAAATATCCACAATTCCACCACTAACACAAGTGGATGGTTCAATTGCAACAACAGCTATACCATAGAAAAAGCAAATGTACTTTCCACTCCTCAGCCGATTTTCCCACACTAGAATCCACGATTCCGGAAATTACTTTTCGAAAATGTCTAAGTAATCAGAAGAATTGTCAGAAGAATTTTCAAACAGCCTAATATCAACAAGGTGTCTGGTCCTAATGAAGTGCCCGTCATCTTACTTAAAAAGTGCTCCAATGAACTCGCACCAATATTTTGCAAACTTTTCAACCTGTCCTACAAGGAAGGGGTTATTCCTTTTTGTTGAAGATTGCTCGCGTGCAGCCTATTCCCAAAAAAGGCAAGAAAAATCTTCCAAATAACTATAGACCAGTCGCTTTGCTATCAGTGATATCAAAATCATGGAGAAAGCCATAAACCACTATATCCCTAAATATTTGGAAGGCTTCAACATCTTGAGCGATCATCAGTATGGCTTTCAGAAACAAAGATCAACATGCGACCTTCTATCATACGTCACCCATATTTCGAATAACGCAATCGAGAAACATGGAGAGTCAAAAATCAAGTCGTATTACCCTCTTTTGAGAAATAAAAATGTTTTTCAACTCGGTAGAGCAGCCTAAAATTTTAATTATGTAGAACAATAGTTTTCAAGAACTATATTGAACATAGATGCAGTTAAGAAAAAACCTTTTGACAATCTACTGTCTATCTATTTACAACAAAAAAATGTGGGAAACTTCTAAAGGAGAGCATCGTGACATGAGCAGATTTGTCTCATCCGGTGACATAAAGTCGTAATGGTGTGCAAGATTTGCGTCTGTTTTCGTCTTCAAATTACTTTAAAAGCCTATGCTAGATTTCCATGTAAGTGAAAATTTAGATCAACGCTCTTTCATTTATCATATTATTTAGTTTTCCGGTGAATGATATCCGTTTCAAGTCCAAAACGAGTTTTTGGACGAAGACTGAATGGAAACAATGTTTTTCATGTAAAACAATTTTCACTTTTTCCCATTTTGTATCTGAAATAATCTTCCATACATGATCTACACATAAGAGTTCCTTTTAAACTTAATTGCGCTTGGTAGTTTTCCATTTTTTGTATAAAGATGGAAAAGTAGAAAACCAAAAACTAATCTCTACTGAAAAAAAAATTACCGTTTCAATTTATAGATTGCAGTTGTATCGCATATTACTACTATTGACTTTTATATTTACCTTTTTAATACTTGATTCCCAGGTCACATCACTGTCAATGTTGGTTTCAAAATTTTAGCGATTTTTAATAATTAATTTCAAGGGTCTGCTGTGATTTTGAAAGTTTTTTTTCAACTAGGTCTGTAGTGAAATTGCACTTCTTTCCTAGTTTAACAATATAATAATTTCTACACCAATTCATGAACTGAGTTTATCTTGAACATAATCTGTGTTGTAAGGTTCGGCACATCATCCATGAATAATAAATACATGAGATGGTTAAAGAGAGACTCCTAGATCTATATCAAATGACCGAGATTGGAAGTTATTGACTTTTATATGATCTTTTAAGATATCAAATTTGTTTTGGTTGGTTTCCAGGTTTTGGAATGTTTGAAGAGTTTAACCAAAACATTGACGCCAGCTGTGAAAGCCTACATTCCTATATTAGAAATAATTTGACCCTAGAAAAAAAGTACCTCTAAATCCCAGTGAATACATTTCATAATGATATGTGAAACAGATTGGTGCTGAAGAGGCAATAAGGCAAGGGTCTTATTTGAAAACATCGGATGTCCACCATTAAGGACGACAGTGCTCCATGCAAGGAAAATTTCACCTCTTTGATATACTATTTCGTTAGCAATCCTGTGAATGATATCTGATTCAGTTCCATGACGAATGTTTGGAGTACAAATGGAACACAAAAAGTGTGTTTTGTATAATTCAGTGTTCATATGAAAGTATTTGTTTCGAAGATTTTTTTGTGTAACTCAATGTATATATGAAAGTAGCTGTTTCAGGAGGCCTTTTTCTTCCAGTTTGTGTCTGAAAATTACTTCTTTGCATTATATACACATCTTTGTTGAGAGTTTATGATTTAATATAATTGTTTTCTACCTTTCATTGAAAGATTCCCACATTTTTTTGTATAAAGATGGAGGACTAGAAAGTCAAAACCTTTCTTTCCCAAAAACAAAGGGAGATATACTTTAAAGGTTGGTTAATTATTTGGTATCAAAAGATTCTGATCAAACTAGTAATTTTGAAAATGATACATTAAGTAGTCATACCAAGATCTGGAGTATAAATTAAAACATTCATTTGGTAAAAAAATCAATTTATTCAATGACAAGATGCCATAATAGCACCAACACTCTCAAAATCAATTTTTTCATTGATATTCTTGGTTTTGATGTTTTCATCTTGGTTCGCGATGAAAATTAAATTGTTGTCAATTTCTTTCCACCCATATTTTTTTACCCATAACTTCAAAACGATATCATCTACATCTCCTAGAAGCTGAGCTAGATGATTTCTTTCGATAGTCTGGTATGTTATTCCAACCACATGGCAAATGAATTTCCGGATAGAATCAACGAACCCAGCAATTGATTGAGTGAGCTCTGGCAGGCTATGAATCCTTGTCCAGAAAACTTGAAAATCACACTGTTCCAGAATGTCAGCCAAGTAGATGATTTGGTTGATGGGTTCCTTTGATAACTGAAACATAATAAAGTTACTACTTTGCATGATCTACACATCTATGTATAGTGACTTCTTTTGAAATTTATTGCTTCCTTCCTTTTTTATTGGAAGATTCTCACATTTTTTATATCAAGATGAAGTAGTAGAAAGCCAAACACTTTTTTTCCCAAACATCAATCCCTTCTAAAAATATAACCCTTTCAATTTAGTGTTTAGATGTTTTGAATAAATTCTGGTTTCGAAAGCAATCTTCAACGTTTTTTCCCTTTATAAAACATTACAATCAAGAAGCGAATTTGCAATGAAGAAAAAATCATCTTCAAATTGCACTTTATGTTTGTTTATTCATTCTTGACAAAGAAAGATTTCAGAGACTTTGAAAGATATTTTCCGAATTTTCAATGTGTAAGAAGAAAATGTATATTCGGCTCTTTGAAATTAAGATGTGGCAAATATTTTCAATCAATAGATCAAAATGGAAAGTTCATTATCGTTCTATATTCGAGGAGAATTTTGTGATATTTTTGCAGCTAAACCTTAGTCAATAATTAATAGTCTTCTTCAATAAATAATAGTACAAAGGTGGACAAAAACAACTTCTATTGAAAATAAAAGAACATAAAGACATATAATTATTATTATATAAACATATACAGAGTACTCAGTAATGAATTTCTACTAGCTTTCAAATGAATGTTGTGTTAAAGTTCAAAAAAGTGATTTGAATGTTTTCTTAANCTGGTAGAATTGAAATGGGTCTAAAGTTATTTGGAATATCTTCCCCTTTTTTAAAAACTGGTATAACTTTTGCATGCTTTAGTTCATCTGGAAACACCCCTTCGTTTATGCATTTATTGATTATTAATGCAATAGGTTGCGCTATTACATCACCTAAGTCCTTCAAAATTGTGGTTGAAATTCCAAATATATCTTCAGTTCGTTTACGTTTAATTTTATTTAAAATTTGTTTAATTTCTTTTTCATCCGCTTCAGAAAAATAGATTGATCGGACATTATCTATATTATTATTTCTCAGCATTTCAATAGAGGGAACATTGATTTTTCCTATTTTACTTGCTGTTTCTGATCCTACCATTGCAAAATAGTCGTTTAACTCATCAGCCATGAGTTTAGATTTGTTGATTTTTGTAATATTCGGTGCTGTTTCAGACTTAATAATATTCCATATTGCTTTAGTTTTGTCGACAGCCTGTGCAATGTACTCTTCATTATACCTCTTTTTTGTTTCTATTATGTTTCTATTATAATCGTGTTTGTACTGAACATAAGCTCTTTCTGATGTTTCATCTGATCTTACTTTCCTTATTGTGTCTAAGGCATCCAATCTATTTTTCATCTTTTTCAGTTCTTCAGTGTACCATTTTGACGATTTTGTTCTTCTTTTATTTGTCTTTTCTTTTATAGGAAAACATGATTCATATATTGTCAGAAATGCATCATGGTAGCATGTGTAGGCTGTACAGAGATCAAGATTTTCAAGTAATGTTGTCCAATCCAATTCTGATAATTTCTTAATTTCTTTTTGCATTTTTCAATGTTTTTAATGCGAATGACCTGCTGCAATTCATAAATAGTCACACGGAAATACATATAGTTCATCAAGGAGAACAATGCAATAGCACTTGCAGAAAAAAGAGAGAATGTCTACGAGTAGGTAGTAACATGTGCAAAAAAAATCATTTATCACTGAATATCACAAAAACATCATTAATGAAAATCTCACTGAATTCTGCTCATGACAATTTTAGCATTTATGAAAACGAGGAGTTGCTTGTTGAATCTTGCCCAGCAGCAAAGATGCTATGCTTTACACTTGACTACACGATCCCGTGAATCCCTCACATTGAAATTGCTATGAACTGAGGTTCATGTCAAACCATTGCAGTAAACAGGTTTTGTTGAATCTGTACTATGGCACTGAATCATCTGCAGTGAAGGTTTTTACACTACAGAAATATGCCATCAGAACTATTGCTCACATAGGATGAAGGCAATCTTACAGAAACATTTTCAAAGAACTCAAAATACTCACTGTGACGGGTATTTATATTTATGAACTATGCATATACATGTACAAGAATGGTCATAATTTTACATCTTATCAGCGTTAATACCTGAGCCGCTCTAAAAACTTATGATTTCCATAATAGGGACTCCAGATGATTGAACCATACTCCAACCAAGACCTAATCAATGAACAGTATAATAAGAGTATTCAAATCAAAGCTTTATTCAGCTCTATAAATGGGACCTGACATGTTGAATGTTTTAGCTGTAATATACTCAGTGTGTGATTTATATTTAAGTTCCTTATCAAAATAGAATTCCTTGGTCTTTTTTATCAAATGATTTTAAGTAAACATTAATAAGTTTAAACTCTCCTTATAAAATATATTGCTGAAAGTTGTGGAATTGGCCGCGGTGGTAGTGCGCCCGGCTCACGATCGGGAGACCGTGGGTTCGATTCCCGCCTCGACCAGATATTTTTCTCGAGATAATTTATCTGGTTGAAGTTGGAATGATTCTGCAACCATGTTAGGAATCACACGTTAAAAGGCAAGACCTCGTTAGTCCTTAGCTTGCAAAAGTTTCTCAACTTTTGAGAGTTGTCGTTCGTATGGGGGCGACAGCTGATTAACGGAAAAACAGATTTTAAACAGAATTAAGCTTCTTACTTGAACTGCTCGTATATGTCTTCCAATTCAATTTTGAGTGTGTATATTTCTCAAGAAATTTTAGCTACTTTTCTTCTGTATTGGTTTTGTTTGTTGCCGTTATATATTGTTTTTTTTTTAATTTAGCAAGAGTATATTTGCAATAAACCAGATTAAGCTAGAACTTGCTCGGAGTGTTGTGTCATGTGATTTTCATTTTTACCTTTCACTAGAATAATTTTTGTCATCTGCAGTTACACTTGCCTCATAAACCCTGACATTTTTGAGATCTTTAGATCAGTTGTAAAGTAGTATCTTGAGGAACTCCTTATGCAACTGGAATTGGGTAATAGAATGATTTGTTCCAGCATGTCATTCAAAGACGATTTGAGAGTCATATAACATAGCTTTTTTATATTTCAAAAAGCCTTCCGAGGCCATGATTTCAACTTCAGAATGTAAAAATTATTTGGGATTTAGTAACTTTATAAATTTTCCTCACTTCAGTTCAAATTAAAGATATTGTATGATTACTATGTAAGAGTACTAAGGACTGAATTTTTAGCTTCGTTTAAATTGCAATATCGTTAAATGGATTAGGTTGAAGTTGTAAGGGATTACTGAAAATGAACTTGAATATTTTCAATACTGGGATTAAACTGTTGTTGAAACCCAGCATTGACTTATATTATTCACTGGGGTTTAAAATTCTACAAGGTAGATATTTGCAAACTTCAGTTTCAAAACTTTATAAGGTATTTAAATCAAAAGGGGTATATTTTTAGAAGAGATTTATTTTTGGGAAAAACATATTGCCATACTCGAATGTGAACTTTCAATATCATATTTTGCACAATTAATTATTAATAAATCACCTACCTGTTTTTCGTAGAGGAGACATTTGCATAAAATGAAGTCAGTGTGTGGTAAGTTGGTTAGCGCCTTCAAAAGAATCTGACAAGTGATGTCAATATTGAAACTGTGTGGATTGAATTGGTATAATTTGAGCACAGCTAAATTGGCTTCCAAATCATAGGAATTTTCTCTGGATTGAACTTCTACATACCGCTCTAAGGTGGGTAAGTTGTCAGGGTTATATCTGAAAATAATGTAAATCAAATTTTACATGGAGGTGAAGAATACTTTTCAAAATAGTAAATACAAGAATCAAAATCAAATGAAGTTTAATGGTGATTCAAACATTTTCAACAGATCACCAAAGGAAAATTTCCCACTTTCAACTTACTATTGACGATTAATGAATTTCACTATTAAAATTAAAAAAAAAGAATGAAGGGGAATTGAATTCCCTCAAAACTAACTTGGGAAGGAATAGAATAAGATCATGAACAGACTCAAAAAAAGCATACCTTTCTATTCCTTTCAGCATTGTTGCAACAGTTTGTTTCATTGCTTCTGCCATTTTCAGTTTTTGAAGAAGTGTTATTTGAGGAATTTTCAACAGATTTTCTCTGGGCAAGAAAATGAATCCTAATTCTTAATCCTACACGTTTGTACAACTCTTCTTCGTTTCTTTCACGATATGAAAATTTGACTTGACATCTGGATCTATCAGCCAATTCCGGCTTCATCTAAAATGGGTAATAAACCTGGAAAAGAAGAGGTATTTAATGTTATAACGTTGGCTAAGCTTGAGGTAGAATTTATTGGGAACTCTCGAACATAATATCGAACTATTTAATGAAACAAATTATATCAAAAATTGTTTTATATGTAAGCCTATGAACTTTTCAGCCCAACTATTATATAGTATATGTTTGGATAAAATTATATAATGTATTTATTTATGCATACACGTTTCATATCCTTTATAGGTATAGAAAACTGTTTTTCTCAGGCCATTGATCTTTTGAATATTTGCTTTGACAACCATATTTGCGATTAGCTTATTTTTTATAGTGTATAGAGAAAATTGAAAGCTTTGTCAATGAATCTTCTGGTTATTTGGAAAATACAAACACATATTATTATTAAAACAACGATAAAAATGAAATGAAAACAACAATAAAAATTAATTGGCGCTCTGGGGCGACTTCATTGATTCCATATTATTATTGAAAATTAATGAAGATATAAAGACACATTCACAATTTTCTAAAGATATATATAATAGTAGATAACATATAACGAGTATTATTAGAATGGAAATTGGAACTGTAAATTTGGATGAGAATGAAATCACATAACTATTGAATGTTATTTTAGGTTGATTCATCATTTCAATATGTATAAAAATTTTATACAAAAAAATATAATTGACCCAGTGTTGGATCATTTAACGATTCCAATAATAAATCTAAGAATGAGTTTTCAACACATAATGATATTAAGATAAGTTACAAATTTAAAATATCTAACAATGACGATCGATCGGTGAAATGAAAATTACAAAAATTAAATGGAAAAAATTAATATATCCTAATTTTCATTTATTCTTCCTGGGGTTCATGTTTTTCGAGAAAGCTTTTCGTGTTGTTGAATACTTCGCCGCTGTTCCTAAGCGAAAAAAGTTTTACCTGTGTTCTGTGTTACACTATCTGCCCAAAACTAACTTACATTACATAAGAAGTGTACCGGGCAATTATTACAAGGCAAGGAAGGTGCTTGAAAGATAAAAATAATAAAGAAAATTAATAAATGAAAGTAGAGAGAAAAGCGTATTGATATAAAATCAGAGTATGTCATAGTTATTGTAATATATGAGTAAGTACATATATATGTATAAAGTTTAGATCTATGGACTAATGTTCTTTGGATAACAAGGGCCAAAAGGATAAAATGAGAAGAAGACACAGACAAAAGTATATGGTGTGTTTTAGGTTATATAAGTATATAGTACAAGTAAACAAGAATACAAGTGAATAGTAAAATAAGTTGAATGAAAAAGTTGTAAGTGAACGTTTTCTTATCAGTATCAACAGTGATCATGGTTCGAAAATGCAATCATGTCTGAGAGATCTCAAACCATAAGATTTCAAAGGACCACTGCAAATAAATCCTTTAGTAAAAAGTCTAGGACCACCAAACTATCCAATAGGCAAATTAAAAGGAAACGTAGGAAAAACAAATACCACAAAACACTGAAAAGACGTAGATTCAATCAAGGAACAAAAGACATATGTTCTTCACTGGAACTCTTTGATATGAAGGAAATGGATTCAGCACCGTCTAGTAGTCATCAAACATTACCATCAGAAGTGATCGAATGGCAGCGACAGGATCAACTTTCTTACTGGAAGTCTCGTGCGATAAGCTTGGAGTATGAGAACCAAATGTTGCGACAGCATCTCAGGAATGTTTATGCTAAAACAGTTGAAGTTCAATTTCAGGGCTATCCTTTGAATGAAACAGTTTCTGAAACCAATGAAATTACTTCCACAGCTGATAAAAGAAAAAGTGAAAAATGTGAAGAAGAAGAAGTAGTGGTACTTCCTAATATTCCTAATGTTAAACAAAGAACAGAGGAAATGAGTGAATTGTATGGGGAAAAAGCACAAATATTAATTGGAATGGAAACAGCAATGCAATTAAATTATGAAAAACATTCAGAAAATTCAAATCCTGTGCTTTGGCCTAACTATCCTTTGAAATTTGTTTTTAATGACTGAAATTTTAAATAAATTCTTATGTAATATTTTTAAAATGATAACTTGATTATATTAATTACATACTAATAATAAGGATTATCAGTGCTCTTGTTGAATAACTGATTTTTCATTTGATGAAAAGAATTAAAATGTTTAATAAATATTTTTGACATAAGATTGGCAAGTAACTGGTTTTTTTATGTGAAGGGCATCGACTGCTACCATTAGTCCAGAACCTCCTCGGGAGCATCATGGTAATTCACAGTAGTCAGTCATGTCATGTGGCGCTATTTTTGAATCATGAGCCATGCACACTACGTCTTACCCTAAGTCTTGAGGCAATGTGCCAAACTTTTTTACATGAATTTCTACCACTAATACAATATTTTGCATGAATGCAATACCAATTAGTTGTGTGGAAGAAAATCAGAGGTATAATATTAAATTGTGCATTGTTTTTTGGGATATTGTGATGGGCATTAGATCAATCTTGTAAAAGATATTTTTCCACTCAAACTTTGTTCAATGGAGAATTGTGGCATCTGCTTTTAGGACACCTGAATCTAAAATATATGTGTCTCTTGCAGAAAACACAAAATCTTTTAATATCTGCAGAGGTTGAAGATGAATTTTTTTGATGAATATTTGATTGTGACAATATTTCTACATATTGATATAAGATAAATAATGAGTCTTTTTGTAATATCATACACCTGAATCAGTTCGAATTTCTCAGTCTAATTCAAATTGTGGGGATATATTCAAGAACAAATCTAACAGGGGAGAAGAATGGGTGTCTGAGTGTGCTAATGTAAAATTCAAAGGAGGAGCAAAGCCCAGCATTTTCAAAGATAAAGATTTCACTTTTTTTTTTTATAAAAATGGAGAATTAGAAAGCCAGAACCTTTTTTTATGTCAAATATATAATGATATTGATATGGGGGTATGTGAGTCTATATCCCTTCGATACATCCCCTTTCACGGTAGTGGAAATTCTGAATACCCTTATGACAAATAAAAACTCCGCAGGTATTGATGGAATCTCAATAGTTTCTACAAAAACAAATAATTGACCTTATACTCGATCCACTGATATGTTTTTGATGAATCAGTCATTATTTGCAGACTGTTTCCCAAATGTGTTCAAACAAGTTCTTGTATATTTCCTCTGCATAAAGAGGAACTAAAAGAAAAGTAAATAACTGCAAGCAAATTTCTTTGCTTTGCTTACTAGGAATGCCTCAAGGTTCTGTACTAGGACCACTGCTATTTCTCAACTTCATAAATGATCTGTCTACATTTTTTTTCCTGAATATCAAATAACTATATTTGCTGATGACACTGCAGTTACTGTTCGGAAATGATGAAGAATTATCAGAGAAAAATTAATACTGTAGTAGACAAATTCAGTACTTGATGTCCACGTCTAAACCTATTCCAATAAATTGTAATCCAACGGAAAGATTCAGAGGCAAATTGAATGTTGCCATTGACTTTTCTTTATAAGGATTAGATATGAGCAATTATGCAGCAGACAATGCGTTTCATTGTCGTTATAGTCTATATGTACTCTCGAATCACAGTGAGACTACTTACAACGGACATTACACAGCATATTGCAGACACCCTTATACGTGACATGAATACAATGATTCACACATATCCCCAAATTCATCAAAATCGCTTGTAGTGAGAGGCATATGCCCTCTTTTATGAACAGGACGAAACAAAGCAGCACTTTTGAGGTGTTTTTTTTCTTTTCATAAACTACATTCTGTTAGTTGATTTGTATTTCATGATTCTTCTGCTTTGATTTCCAGTCACCTAACAAGATTGTGTTTCGAGGAAAAGCCTTTGACGAAAATCTAACCTGGAGTTGTCACATTCAAAAAGTTTGCGACAAAGTTAGTTCTGCTTATTATTCAATCAAACAATTGAGGAGCTCTCTAGATATATTTGGATTGTTAAATTTTCACTTTTACGTGACTTTTTCTCACATCAGCTTCGATATCAAGTCTTGGAGATGTGTCAAGTAGTTCTCAAGAGATTTTGTTAGACAGAAAAGACTAATAAGATTTATATATAATTTTAGATTTCAAGATATTTGTAGACCAATTTCCCACGAATTCAGATATTCATGGTCGAGACACCCGCCATGGCAAGTTATTATGAATTCTTCCATATAGAACGGCTCATTTTAGATGCTCCCTATTATTCAGTGCATCAAACTGTTACAATAACTATTAGGAAAATCGATTCAGTAGTTTTTTATTCTGCAGTGGAAAAATTACTCTTCCAGAAAAGTTACTAACAGTCATGAGTAATCTTTGAATGATACTTTCTCCTGACTTTGTGACGGTAGTTAATTATTATGACGTAACGTGTACCCAGCATATCATAATGCAAAATTAATATATGAATAAATGTTAATTTCGTATTGAATGTTACACCAAAATCATCTATTTCATCTACTTTTTGGATAGGTATACATATATAACCTAGTTAAATTGAAAAGAAAATATTTTTTGGAAATATTTTACTTTTTGGGCAACGCTTTTCAGTTCACTCCTTCATCTTTAATTGTAGGTAGCGCAAAGGCCTTTGATATAGTTAATTGGTCACCTTACGAATGCTAACCGTCTGTAGTGAAAACTTTCAAAAAATCTGTTTTAAAAAAAACGTTTTTTCAGATACCGACTGTAAGAAAAAGCCCATTTGAAACATTACTTTCAAACATATGAACAATGAATTACACGAAAATCACTTTTTCTTATTCAGCTTGTACTCCATCAATTTTTTATGAAACAGAAATCATTCACAAGATCGCTACACAATGTATTACATGGAAATGTATTGAGAATAATCTTCACTTACATGAAAATCTACCATCCTAGACCTAGAGGTTTCAAGCAGAAAACACTTGTCTTCAACTCCTCGACAGCACCTTTTTCTATATATTTAAAGATAAAACATTCTTTTCTAGCATATGATTACGAATTTGTCACCTGAAGAGACAACAGCATAATCTATACTGTTTTCTATGGAATCTGAAAAATACAATACAATCAAGCACCTCATATCCGATTATTGTATTAGCATGGTTTTATATACTCATACAAAAGAATACAATACAATAATAGTGAATAATGTTGTGTCAACAGGGACGGAATTGTATCTTCTAATGACATTATCCAAAAAAAATGCTGATTGTTGAAGAGGTACACCTAGGGATGATAGATTTCCACGTAGGTAAGTGAAATTTGACCTTAATACAAGCCGAATAAAAAAAAGATTTTCGTTTAATTCAATGTTTATATGTTTGAAGTGGTTGTTTAGAATGAGATTTCTCTTTCAGTTTGTGTCTGAAAATAATGTTTGTGCAAGATCTACACATCTTTGAAGTTAATAGCGTTCTTTCTGTTTTGGAAGTTTCCCACATTTTTTTATTTAGAAAAATCGCAAAGACTGAAGCAGTGACATAACTTCTATTAATATTACTATACACATCGCATAAAAATGAAAATATGGCATAATGGGTATTTTTGTTTGTTTGGAATCCATTGTTCGGAGCTAATATTATTAATGACAGAAAAATCAGATAACAATTTAATCCAACTTTTCGATGATTTTGGCTAGTGAACGAATTTACGATATAGGTCGATAATTCAACGAATCTTCTTGATCCGATGTTTTTAAGAACGAAGGAAACGAACCAGTCCGAAAAGAATCATTAATTGCCTCAGCCAACGCACTTAGAGCTGCAACTGGGAGATTTTCGAAGATTTTTTATTGATAACTCATCATTTCAATCATCACTGATTCGCTAACATTCATGGAATGTAACTTTAGTTTTTCATGTAAACAAACATTTTGTAAATTTTTTGAGGAGCGTATATGGTATTGTCAGTCAAAGTTCCTGCTATTGAATAGTGACTAAGTTTATCCACTGGTATCCTTTCTTCTACTTGTTCATTATTGAGGTTACCTCTGAAAACATTTATGATGGCCCGTGGTCTTTTGGCCTATTGTTTGGGAAATTTCTTGTATTGTAAAAACTACAATTGGCATAGTTATTCAGTTTTTTGTAAATATTTTTTGTATTGTCCTGATATAGCCATGAACTGATTCGATGTTCGTGAATTTTTTAATGTAATTTAGCAATCCAAGATTTCTAGATGAGAATTTCAAACCTTCAGTAAGTATTTTTTTTTCAATTTTATCTTTTGATAAGGAAAAGATTTGTTGAAGATAGTTGTAAAGAGTTAGTAGAGGGTCAAACACTTTCAGAGTATGTTCCCAATTTATTTCAAGACAATTTTGGTAAAACTTGTTATAGTTTGACCTACGGTATAGTCTACCATACTTAAACTTTTTACTTTTCTTTATAAGATTAATGTTATGATCTGAAATTCCCTGAAACACAGCTCATGCACAGAGCTGAAGTTATTTTTCGAATTTCTACATACCTACATACTATCTACCTACTATACTAGAGTTACTATATATGTTGTGTTATACATGCTGGAAAGTCAATATGCATTTTTAGGTGGTCAAATGATCTTAGTAAGATTATCAGTGACTGAGTTAAATTAGAATCAGCATCAGCAAAATTAATATTGAAGTAATAATAAAAATAATAATTTATTTATTTCAAGGTTGTACAGACTATAAACAAAGTCACAATACAACCTAATTATTAATTAGAAAGGAATACACAAAAACAATGAAACAAGTTATTACAAATTTAGAGTTACCTATCAGCGTCCAAGTTCAATAGATANGGAATATAAAGAAAATTATTACATAACTCAAATAATTTCTCAGCAGTGTTTTCACTGATAATTATCGATTTATCATCAGCGTACTTATAAAGAAGGTATTGTTGAGGAAGATCAGCAAATGCATAAAATATAGGTATTCAGTTCAAAGTTTACAAAACTGCGACGCGTGTTTTGCTATAAAATGGCGTTTTCTAGTATTGTGCTGCCCGAAGATGCTATTGTTTAGCAAAAAAACGTGTC